GGGGGTCGTATAACTATGGAATCGTTCTTGTAGGCACTTTCCCATCTTGCATCTCTTTCCATCTTCATTTCCACTGTGTAGCCCGCAACGGACTGATTTGTTTTTCAAAATATGCGGACCTTTTCTCATTATTAGTGGCATTGCTACCCGATTTGCTTTCAGTTGAGAAGTGTTATTTGCTACTTTGTTCTACTCTCCTCCGGGCACCTGCCTTTTCGAAGACTTTTGGTCATAATTCACAAATGAATTGCACAAGCGCAGGGAAAAAACACTAGAAATCACTTTATTTAGGTTAGTGCTTGCTGACTGTGCCTCTGAAATAGCGTTTGGCAATTGGGCTCCGCGTTCTTAACGCATCCTCCATAGGATTGTGCTCGAAAACCACGGAAACACTGGAAATGTTGTGTTTTGACTGATGAGTGCTTTCAACTCTGCATTCACAATGGAATAATCAGGAATTGCACACCCAGAAATTGCATGCTTATGCGAGAACAATGGTAAGCAGTTCATTCTCGTGCCTGTTTACGAATCTATTCTGAGGGAGGCCAATGCTGCTGCATACTGTTGACAGTCCAGAAAGTCGGAAGGCAGCTACAGTTGATTGGACACCACAGTTTTTGTGACCTGGCTGAGTGGTAATGAGGCCTGGTCCCAAATTGGAAGTACCGGTGCAGCAGTCCCCTACACCGCGTCATCGTCGGGACATCTGTTGTCGGTGGTTGTACATACTCGCTTAGACAGTGTGTCCAACGTTTTATTTTAGTGACGCCATTTTTGCTCCGACCCTAGGGATTTATTATATCACGCACTGGCGGTACAATTTGCTGCGTATTCCCTTTACCGCCTCACGGGTACTGCAAGCTTTAATCAGTGTTTGCCTAAATCCGAGTCATGGAAGTAATCACTCAAATGGATAGGAGCCTTTGCTATTGATGATGGCCATTTAAATGTCTACTGGCAAAGTAGAGGCGCTTAACTGGAGACCAACAGGGTCCGGAGTGGTTGTTGCTGCCATTGGCTTCTCCTTAACCAACGAAAGTGAAAAATTCCCTGCATGTGAAATTTTAGTGACCAGGTAAGCCAATATCGAGTAGCTAGGGTGGATACAAAAGGTGGTGGGTAGGTAGGAAGCAGTCAACCAGCGAGGTAAGTATTAGAAAGGTGGGTCAGTCATAAGTAGTTCTGTGAAAGTTGAACACTTATTTTGACCTCCGTAAGCAGGAATAATGGAGGCTTTTGGTACAACAATATGATTAAGACATAGCGCTTTTCGAACGGTGAATAGTATATTATCCGACTACAAAGGTTTAGTTGTTTCTACTTGACGCATGCGCACCTTTTGGCCGTGGTATTCACACGTCCATGGCCTGAGGACGTAGCACCGAGTTTTTGTTGAATTAGCCAGCTAACATGCATGCGTTGCCAGGGTCAACGAAAACTCACTCATGACCTAGTATTAGTCCAGGACAATCCAAAATTAGAATGCATTCACTTTTAGGGCAGTGCGTAAAGTTGAATTCACAGGGGGACTTTGTAGACATTGCGATCCACCTTATTTTTCAGAAAAATTTAGTGGTTCTATTGATGAGAATTACGCACAACTATAGGAGAAAGTGCGCGAAATTGAAACCCACGTCTTGCCTACTGGGACAAAACAAATCAGTTGGACTGACCGGATTAAAAGTAGGTGAAAGATCTTACCTTCAGCTAAAATATTTGCTCAACTTCACATAAAAGAGCCCAAAAAGTTACTTGTGAAACGGGAAACCGAACCAGTTCACAGAGGAAATAAACTAAACAGGTTTCGCACTGCAAATTAAATGACCACGAAGCGCTTCGCAAAATGCTTCATTTGTTAAAATACCC